AATTTTATAATAATTAAAATAAGATTGAAACATAAGCTGTGTTTGTTGGGAAGAATTTTGATTTATTTTAAATATTACAATTGTTTTTTGTTATTATTGTCTTACAGTCTTTTCACAATTTCATCTCAATATCATATAATGTTTAATTAAATGCTTTTTTAAGCTATTTATTGTACTTATTAAACATTCTAGAATTTTATTAATGTTTTTTTTAATTTATATTTTTTTATTTTTTTTTGTTTTATTATATCTTCAGACTTTACACATTTAGCTCTCAAAAGTTTGTCAACAATTCCAATCAATTCTTTTATATTAAAACTAAACGGTACATTTAAACTTGTTAAGCGAGAAGCTTGTAAATTTAGTTAAAGAAATTTTAAGAAGAAACTATAAAATCGTTGCGTTTTTTTATACTAAAAAGCTTGCACGTATCTTGATTAATGAAAAATTAGCATAAAAAATTCTTTAAAATTTGAAAATCCTATTAATACGATAATACTTAATGTACAATGAAATAGATGTAAAAATATAAAGAGTTTTTTTGAAGGTAATATTAAATTAGGCAATAAAATCTAAATAGACATTAAATTTTAATAAATTAATCAAAGACATAATTACAGGAGAACTGAAACAAAAAAATGAAAAATGTTATATAAATTATTAGCACAAAAAATAAGAATTTAAAAAATAAAACAAAAAAATGCTTAGTGTTTAGTACTTTTTTTATAGATTCTGATTTTGTTTAGATAAAAGTAGAAGTCTTAAAAAATTAAAATATAGATCAATATTCTATTCATTTAATTTAGTGGACTATGATTGACTGAAAAACGTGAATCTTTAGTTTTTATGTTTAAGTTTCAAGAATAAAAATATTTTTGTGTAAACTTTTTGCAATTCCTCCTCTAACTTTATAAATAGCATCTTAAACTCTTTTGCTACAAAAGTTTTATAAAATCTAACTATATTCACAATTAAGTTTTTGAAAAATTTATATTGTCTTCTAATTTTCCTTCATTAAGTGTCATCTTTATACTAGAATGAACAATTTTATGTACATTAGGGGGTCTTCTTTCAATGACTGCCTACATTTAATTTTTTAGAGGTTAAAAAATATATTTAATGGTTAATTTAAAAAAGGTTTTTAGAATTTTAATATATAACTCAGCAAATTCTTCATTGCCCTTATTTATTACATAACGTCTTTTAAAGTGTATTGTATTAGCTAACCATAAATATGGCTGCGATTTGTTCCATGCTCTTTTCTCATAAAGATTTTCATGTGCGCTCAAAATACCTCTATGGTATTTGTATGTGTAATATCGTTTCCTCCAAATCTACAGAATGATTTACCCAAGGGTGTTCGACTCCATAGCAAAAGTATTAGACGGATACGACGGTGTACATCTCTGTATAGAACGCTTCTATCAATGATAACTCCACGCATAGCTGCAGTAAGGTTGATATAGCTTTTTTTCAACTCTTGCGAGAAAAAAATTTCACTGATGTGTTCTATCAATATCGCTGAGTATCCAAACTGTATCGAGAATAGTATCATCTGCGGTCGTAGTGCAGCAAACAACCCCACGTCTTGATAAAACACTCTTGTCAACTTCAACGATAATACCCGGTCCGCCTAAGAGAACTGGTCTTTGTTGGATATAGACCCAGTATGCATCTAGAAGCAGAGCTTTATATCTTTCTATTGTAGAGTCGGATACAAACCAAAAATAATTGATCTGACTATAGCTTAGATCAAGCATGAGGAGATAAATCAAGTGCACTACATCCGCTAGAGGAATCCGAAAGAGAAACAAGTAATGTCGCTTTTGACATTTGCGCTTTGGGCATCTATACAGTATCACAGATGAACCAGCAATTAGCCCATTCAAAGGATATAATTCTCTACAATTATTACAGATCACAGTTGTTGATATAATATTATTTGATAGCAAAAAATTTTTTAACTCGTTCATACAAATAAAAATTTTATCTTTAATCTTATTCTTATGAAGGATAAAAAAATATCTTGATTGAAAGACCAAGCAAGTAGAATATAATGTTTTATGCATATATCTAAAATTAGGTTATATAAAAAAGATAAAAATAATATTGCTATGTACTTTCATATAACAACCAATTATAATTCTTTATTGTCATTCTGACAAATTAATTATTAGGAAATTGATATTCTTCTTAAGATTTAAAAGGAGGGTTCATCTTTACCGTTTTTAAACTATAAATACAAGAAAAAATATAAATAAATGAAGTCGATAAATTTAACTTCTTTAATTAAATTTTATATAAAAATAACACAGTTCCGGCAAGTTATGGCAGTACTAATCAATAGAACGTAAAAGAACATTTTGTAGAACAAAAAATTTTTTATCTTTAAGTTGGGATTGAAAACTTTTTTACCATAAGACAATGAAAATAATCTTTTTTTTCCATATAATATTGTTTATTTGTGTTTATAACAAATGTAAAAATTTAACAATTAAATTTTTAATAAATATATTTAATTAAAAACAACGCTCAATTATTATATAATAAATATTTCTACGTTATTATATTTTTATAAAGAAATAAAATGATTATCTATATTTGTATTTTTAAATTAAAAGCTCTGCCACATACAAACGACTACCCTTAATTTTATGTTTTCATTGAATAATTAGTACAACAGAAATAAAATTAAAATTAAATTAAAAACTATATTTATGCAATGGTTTTTTTATTCATTTAATTTATATTTGATATTGTAATAAGATTTAACCCCAATTATGAAAGATTTTTACATGGGGGATACAAAAATACGAGTTGTCAAGTGATGACTGCAGTCAGGAGGCTAGAAGATTATTAAATGAATTAGACATTATTGTATATCCACTGAATTTAGAGCAGGTGGAAAGAGCAGAGTAGTAGAGAAATGTTTTTGAAAGAATAAGCTAAGAATTAAAAATTTTTATTGTTAGAAATATTGAAAAAG